GCTGTTATCGGATCCAATTCGCTCTTGGGAATTAACGACGACGTCTGTTTCGATCGATTTGGCCGACTTGGCCCGTATGGCCTTGGTTATGGCGCGAAATCGGGAGGGAGTGGAGCTGGACTCGAAGGCGACCGATCTGGAGTAAACGAGGTGTGGAAGAATGTCCCGCCAGTTGATTACCGAAGCGTCAAGTGGGCCGAAGCACAGGAGCGCTGTGCTGCCGCAAATATCCATCGGTTTCGGAAACTTGAACCTCCACGGGTAGAACGGTTTGCCATGCCACAGGTTGGGACGTTGAAGCCAAGGGAGGATGAGAAGCCAAAATCTCTTCCGAAAAAGGAAGTCGAAGGAACTGAAACTGTCAACGCCACGGAGACCACAACTACGCTCCCGCGAACAGCGGTGATTATCAGAACGTGGTCGGACTACAAATACAACGCAGAGTCGATTATGTATCTCCGCGCGCTGATTTCTGAGCTCTCTTTGATGTCTGGAGGGGAATACACTGTTCATTTCCTTATCCAAGTCAAGGACGACAATCTGCAGATTTGGGCAGATGATGAGATCCACGATCGTATTCTCAAAGAGGCCCTCCCTGCTGAATTTAGGGGAATGGGTACCTTATGGTCAGAACGGCAGATGAATCTGATGTATGGCGGACTCGAAGAAACATTTGCGCGAAATCTCCCTGTGCATGGCGTCTACAGGAGCACGTTTATGCCCGTCCAATACTTCTCCCATCAACATCCCGAATATGACTTTGTCTGGAACTGGGAAATGGACGTCCGAAATACTGGCCATTGGTATCACCTATTCAACCAAGTAGGAGAATGGGCGAAGCAGCAGCCCCGCAAGGGTCTCTGGGAGCGAAACTCACGGTTCTACGTCCCATCCGTGCACGGATCGTGGGAAGACTTCCGCCAAATGGTCCGCGTCCAAACCGAAATTGGCACAAATAGCCCAAACAACATGTGGGCTCCCATTCAAAAGGGCAAATCTACCGGTCCCACCCAGGAACGCCAAGGCGAGAAGCCCGTTTGGGGTCCCGAACGGCCACATCAGCAGGACATTTTTGAAGTTGATGGCGAGGGGATCCCGCCCACAACATACGAAAAGGATAAGTACGAATGGGGCGTTGGCGAAGATGCTGACCTCATCGTCTTCAATCCCCTCTATGACCCAGAGGGCACCACCTGGCTCCTCCGCGATGATGTAACGGGTTACAACAAGGAAGACGGCATGCCACCCCGTCGCGCAGCCATTATCACCGCCTCCCGCCTTTCCCGCAAACTCCTCGCTACCATGCACCGCGAAACAAGCTTAAAGCGACACACCATGTTCTCGGAAATGTGGCCTGCCACCGCTGCCCTCCATCACGGCCTCAAGGCCGTCTATGTCCCGCACTCCATGTACGTTGACCGCCGCTGGCCACCTACCTATCTCGAATCGGTATTTAATGCTGGTCGCAACGGAGCAACCGGGGGTGCTAGGACGTCCGTCTTTGGCGAACGAGAACATAACTTTAGGGGCACGACGTGGTATTATTCTGCGGGCCACTCGATAAATCTCTGGCGCCGGTGGTTCGGGTATAGAGTTGATGGGGGTGGTGGGGAGGAGTATGAGCTTGCGACTGAGGGGAGGATGTGTTTGCCGCCCATGTTGTTGCATCCGATTAAGGATGTTGAGATGATTATGGAAAGTATAGATCGGTGATGGATGCCTTTTTATTAGCGGGGGTCATGGGGTTGGTGTTTTTGATCTTTTCTTTTTTCTTTTCTTTTTACATGTTTGATTCTATGGAGTTCGGTTTGTTTTTCCCTCCTTCGTGTGGATGACGGGTTGGCTTGGTTGTGTGCATTTTTCTTGTACCATTTTTGTTTTTATGTTTTTATGTTAGCTCTTCGTTTCTCTCTTTTTCCCCCATAGGGAACGACATCACCTCCTCTGGCTTCCCTCCTGATGGATTCGTCTCTTTCTCTTCGATTCTTCCCTGCACCTGGTCTCTGCTATCGACGGCGCTCGCATGGGATACATAACCACCATACATCGGAAGGGAGAATGAATGATGAAAATGGAACCGGCATACTTATTATATGTATATCTAATGTACCCGATGCGGCATGAAAATGACACCCCCTACCTACCTCTTCTTTTGACGGCCTAGGCATAGGCATAGGCAGATGATACCTATGATGAATGATGTGCTCAAACTTTCTGACATTGAGAGGTCGTTTTTTTTTAATGTTATATCTGTTTGTTCTCCCTACTTAATGCCGCTTAGCAGCCCCATTCAACTTAGAGGTAGATCGTAAAGATTTCAATGCGTGAAATTGGAAAATTACTTCTAGCAAGCGATCGATTTCAACTTAAACACGGATACATGCATCCAAATGACTCGCTTCCCCCTCCTCCTCACCCGACCTACCTAGTTAATCAACCCCCCCTCATAACCGCCCCCCAAACCTTCATAAGCATATCAAACCCAACCGCCTCCCCAAACTCAAAAACACTCCTCCCAACATCCCCCTTCCCAACATCCCTCACCACCCCACCACCTTCCTCAAAGCCCCCATAAACCCTCACCTTCCCCCCCTCCCAACCACCCCCAACCCCCCTCCCATAACAAAACCCGCCCAAATCCCCCGCAAACCCCCTCCCCACAGCAATCCGCCTCTCCCTCTCCGCATCATCCGCACCATCCCCAAAACACCCCTCAAAATTCAAAAACAAAAACGCCACATCCAACACGTGCGTCGCGTAGCCCTTAAACGGGCCATCCCAGGGATTCGGCTCGTTGAAGAAGTATGCGAAGGAGCGGGTGGGGCGCGGCCAGGCGGTGGCGATGAAGTGGACGGGCGCGTGGAAGAGGAGGTCTGTTGCGAAGTGGAGGAGGGGGTGTTTGGTTGTGGATGGGTTGTAGGTCGTTAGGAGGGAGGAGGTGGTGGTTGAGGTGGAGGCGGGGAGGGTGGTGGTGGTTGCTTTTGTGAAGCGGTCGTGGAGGGTTGAGGGGCTGGAGGTGGCGGCGCCGGGCATGAGGACGGACATTATGGAGCCCTTTGGGGGGGTTAGTTTCTTTTTCTTTTTTTCTTTCTTTCTTTCTTTTTTTTTTAATTTTTTTGTAGTTTTTTTTCGTCTTTCTGATGGCGTTTTG